AGATAGATAGATAGATAGATAGATAGATAGATAGATGACAGACAGACAGACAGACAGACAGACAGTCCCCAGATTGTCACAGTCCAAAGCATGCCAATAGGAGGAGTAAAGAGAAAAGAGCTTGAAGGCCTTCTGGAGAATCAGATCTGGCTTCACAAATTTTCTCTGTTCTTTTTATCCTGTTGGATGGAAACTCTATTAGGACAGCGTATGATGCTTTGAGAAAGCTCTGTAAATATGTGAAAAGTAAGCCTAGCAATTGCACTCTGAAAATGAACACCCAAGAGCAAACACTGAGTTTGGAAAAAAGCTTGGTTACAGGAAGGAAGCCGGTGTGGGTAGATGGGTGTGCTGTTCTTCCACACCATCTATTCTCTCGGGGCCATCAGATCGACGAGGCTCCACTGTTTCGCTGCTTGGGACAAAAAGGCCCTTCGCAGAGTTCCAAAAGGATCTCTCCAAGTGGTGGAGAATGGAGTTCGGTTAAATAGGTGGGAAGTGACTATTAAGGTTTAATAACAGCAACTACAATAACAAAGTATTATCCAATATAATAAATTTAAATAAATAAATAAACAAAAGAACGTCCACATTTCTTTATACAGTGTCTGCTGATAAGGTTTGCACAGGGAACTGGGATAAGGAAAGGAATTTTGGCATTGTGGAGGAAGATCAAGTCAATCTGCAGACTAACGTACAATGGGAGATCCCTTCTTGAGAAAGTTGAGGAAAATGGTCAAAACCAAAATGGCAGACAAAATGCCTTCCCGGATACAGATTGTGCCACCCAGATTTGGGTCCTTTCACCATTGAGTGATTTGATGGCCGAATGCTTTGTCAAGCAATGTAAAACTGACCCCTGACTGCTTTCACTGTTTCCAGTTTTCTATCAACCTCAAACTGTACTGGTCTATTCTGGGAAATCTAATTTTTTTTGGCAAACGTCATGAGCCAGACGCTGCTCACTTCTTATCTATCTGGCTGACCAACAGGAATTTGCAAAGCACCAAGCTTAATCAGAAGTCCTCCTACTGGAATCTCCTATAAAATTCTGATTTCCCACTCCCTGGACAGATTCACAAATTTGGGTGGGGAACTAGTTTTGTTCACATTTTAATCTGAATTGATCTAATTTTGCATTTTTTTGGATCAATGCATGAAGTGAAAGGTATTTAACCTTCATAGTCCTTCAGATTTTGCAATTAAATTCACCAGAAGTCAATTCAGCTGTTTAGCATGGAAAAAAACACGTAATGCTTATTTGCAATTTGGTTCTTGTGCAGCTAGAAAGGGGGTAAATATCCCAGGGGTGCTTTGTCCAAAGGCCAAATTCTGCCTTTGCAGTAACATTTTACAGGCCCTCTAACAGCTGGAATTCTCATCTATCTGTAAAATTTCTATCTCCTTTTCAGCACTTTTCCCCTCTTTCTTCTTACCACTTATAGTAGTGCTTCCCAAACCTTTTCCTTCATTACCCAAAACCACTTATCAGAAAGTCCTTTTTACCCAATGTAAGTTAAAACACTTTAAGTCAAGTTTAAATGTCCCTGTTGTGATTGGGTAATGGGTTCATGTGTCATTACCCAAAGAAAAACCACTTTTACCCAATTTTGGGTGATTTACCCAGGTTTGGGAGTCACTGACTTATAGGGGAAAAAAGGCTGGGCATCAACTGAATGAATGTATAAATAAATATTTTAGAAGTCCTAAACATCCAGTGGTAAAGGAAGAAGAAATATGTTTCCAGTAGTGTGCAAACTCTGTCTGAAAACTCCTCCAGGGATAAAAAAGAAGGCACTGGATCATTTTAATAGCCAATCTGTGAAGGTTTTATTTGACTTTTAATTGGATTTATTTATTTATTTATTAAATTTATCTCTGCCCATCTGCCCCTAATGGGCGGATGTAGTAATACATAAAGGATATGTATGAGAGAGAGGGAGTAGAATTAGGGTTAAAAATATTGAATACTTTATTAGGACATGAATTCTATTAAAACTTCAGAGAAACTCAGAGAAGTGTCAAAGCCTACCAGTCAGAAGTTAGCAAAAAAAAGTAC